TAGAGGTGCTGGTAGGCAGATTTGTTACCTTTGGAAAAAGTCAAGATAGCCGTTTTCAGTCTTTATGCTAACCTAAGCTAAACTAAACTGGCTCCTGGTTGAATTCTCAGTTCATTTAAGTTCATAGTTCAAGTTACTGATTAACATTAGACAAAACAAGCTTTATGTACAGTACATTTATTTAAAATTGTTGATTAATATATTACAGTATTACAAGATCTAGTTCACCATTTCAGCATTTTAATTCTAATAGATAGAAGTAGGTTATTATTATTTGTAGCTGTTTCATGCTCGTGACCTTTTCTGGACTTTTAAAGATGGAGACCAAACAAACTGAGCTTATCTCAGATGTTTGTGTATCAGTGCAAACATGACAGGCGGCTCTTTCAATCACTAACCTCCTCCTCCACCTCCAAGGTTTCTATAATAATGAAAACTGGACTGCTCAAAAATTAAGAAAACAAGTGATCTCTCGCTTGTAGTTCAAAGAGCAGGGAAATTAGTATATTACATTCACTTAAGTACTGTACTGTATTTGCACTTTACTTGAGCATTTTTATTTATATTTAAAATTTCTACTCTACTATTTTTAGAATAGTTAAAATACTTGATAGTTTTATTTAAAAAAAATACTTAATTGTAGCACTGTTTGTTTCTGAACAGCAGTATTTATCACCTTATAAAATGATTATATTATATAAAGTGGTTAAACTGAATCCACCATGACTGGCTGCAATATTAAAGGGATGGTGCACTTTCAGAAAGTTGGAGGAATCATGTGAAAAAAAGTTTTTAAAGATCAAAATCCTGCCTTTTAGTCCCTATAAGGATCCTACATTTCCCACAATGCAACTCTTATGGTGTCTTTAATTATGCTGCATTCCAGACAACTCAGAACTTTTCAACCTCTTATTAGAAAAAATTACAATGGCACACCAAATTCATCTACCCTGACAGTTGTCCGACGTCACAGGTCTCTTCTCTTGTACATTTCAATCAGTAGTGGAGGGGGGTAGGATGGATTTGTCGAATACAGTGTTTGAATTTGGCTGCTGAATAGAACATTTTGATACGGTAGAATGAAAGTATAAAAATAAAATAATATGGCATCTGTTACCTCTTCCATTGTTATTCCCCCCTCTGTTTGCTTCATACAAAGAGGTTGCACTGTTGAGAGTTCACTTGTGTGTACACTTGCCAAAGGAACATCAGTTTGTAACGGTTAGCCATGTTTTTTGTTAATGTTTGGCGTCGTGCACCCGGATCGCTTAGAGGTCGGAAGCCGGAAATTTCAACTTGGAATATTCAAACTTTGACTGGAATGCAGCCTTAGACTCTGATTTCCTCCAAAAAAGCCCACATCTTTGAATCTCCACACCTCCAGTTTGTAACGCAGACTTTAGTAAAGAGTAAAAACTAAAGCCCAAACCAAGATAACCCATCATCACCATCATCAGGGTTATTTTTTAATTCAGCAAAGCTCACTTCAAAGCCACAGAATATATTGTACAAAGGTTTTCACAGGTTTGTGATGAATAAACTGAAGTTCCCATTTGAAGTTCCAACACACTGATGGGATCTTCTTCTGATACTCGAGTACATTTCTCTGATAATACTTAAGCCAAATTTAAATCCAGTGGATATAATGCAAGTTCTTCTACAATACGATTTTGCTCATTTGAGTTAAGGATCTGAAAGAATGCAACCACAAGAAGGTCATTGATTAATGTGCATGCTGTGTTCTATTCTCTTTTATTGATTAAATCTGCCTGTGAGTACGTGACAGGCCTTGAAGTAAACACGGATTGGCAGCACCTCCATTGTTTAATCTTCAACATGGACGTCATATCAAGGTTCAGGTTTGCTCTTCTTGCAGCCAAAGCACAGAATAGGTCTGCTGAACTTTTGGAAAGAAAAACAGTTTCAAAATGTGCACAACATCTTGAGATAAAAGATGTTTTAGGTTAAAGAAAAACATTTTTTAATGTGTTTTTCCTCCTTGGCCATATAAAGGGGGTGGAGCTGTGGGTGGAGCTGTGGGTGGATTAGCCCCGTTCGATACATCAAGTATGTGCCAAATGCTGCTTTCCAAATGCAGCAGTAAACATCAGGATCCTCTTTGAACCTATGAGCTTGCATTTTCCCGATCCTCCCCCTGCTCCACCCCACCCCCCCCACCCCCCACCCTTCCTCCTCCTATCTTCTTCTTTCCAGCTGTTTTATAAAACAAGCCAAATGACCCCCAAACCATCAACATACCCACCCCCCCACCCCCCCCTCATAGCAATGTAACACATAAAAACACAGCTTTAAAGAGAACACGCTGCAATGCGTCCTTGTTTTTCTGCTCTGTGGCTGAAAAACCCAGTCGAACCATGTGCTAACGTTTAGCCGAGCAGCATCCATCACGCGTTCATTTTTCATCTTGTGAACGTCTAATCTCCGTACTTCAGAAAATGTGCGAAAACTGCCAGACTGTTTGTCCGCCTGGGACTCAAAGCGCATGTGACACGGCGGTGTGGTTATCATGTGACGATTCAGAGCCACGGGCCGACCTTGACCTTGTGCCTCAGCCGGGGCGTCAGGGGGGTTAATGTCATCTAGCTTACAGTGGAGGGACGGCTCAGAGGGGTGCAGAAATCTGACAACATGACCCCTGCATCCTATTGGGTTTAGGATTTAGGGTTGGCTATGTTAAGCTGGGCCAGGTCACTAGTAGCACACATGTTGAAGGATTTTCAATGATTTTGTGCACAGAAACAGTGATATTATTGAACCTTTTGAGCTTATTTTGTAATGGATGTTTCCAAAACTGATAAAATCAACTAATTTTAAAAAATTTTAACCGCAGAAACCCAAAGTTCATTGTTGCTTTATGCAATGAATTTACACTTATTATTACATATTTAGATGCAGCCCCTTTTGCACAATCCATATCTCAATTTTCGAAAAGTGTTTATTGTATTATTATTATTATTATTATTAAAAGTGTAACTGTTTAATATATTTGCATCGATGTCCTTCTAACTGCTCCTGTAACTGGCATATATTTAAAAGAGGGAAACAATGGGTTTTACATAAACTCACCTAAGTTCCCTACATACATAATAGATTCAGCCTAGGCCAAACAAATGGTTTTATAGATCATATTTTTGTATTTATGTACTGTATTGTATATTACAGTCATTAAGTGGAATAATAGAGAATTTCAATCGTTTTTCTTTGATATGCTTTGAAAGCTACGGCACATCATAAATAGCAAGTCATCTTTTCTTTGAAATGCCAACCTGGTCTCAGTCTTTGGTCAGTCCTGTAGTCACTCCTGGGGGATGCGGGACCATATGGCCCTTAAAAAAGCTGTTATATGTAGAATGGGATCCAGATGGGAGAAAACGGGAGGCCCTGCTGCTCACGCCCTCCTCTTAACTTAGCCTATAGTAGACAGAGAACAACACACTCCCTCTCCCGCCCCAAAGTTACGAAAACAAAAACACATTTTTGATGGTAATTGCCACTTAAAGATAGTCACGCTCTCCAGCACGAGCCGGAGCCTCTATGCATTTTGGACATCAAGAGCTTGTGAGTTGCATCCAAATAAGTTTGGAAACATCCCAAGGCTCTTGTGTTCATTCTGCAGACTGAGAGGAGAATAAATGCTGGCTGGGCAGGATGATTTATTTGACGTTTTCGCACAAAACCACCACAATATGTCCTGAGTGGCTTTATTATGTGAGTCCAGTCTGGCTGTCCAGTTTCAGTTTGCAGAGAGAGAGAGTTCAAGGCAGCTGTGACCCGAGGTTATGGTGGTGAATCTGATCAATAGCCATCGATGAAGTGATAGCACAATGCCCTCTAGTGGTGGAACGAATGCTGTGCTGCAGCCTGTTGCAGCAAAAACATTCACTGTTATCGATCTAACATGCATGTATTTTTTATTTTTCCACTTTGTTAAACCTTTTGCAACAAATTACATAAAAAGTATATGGAGACCAACAGATTTGACATAGAGCTCTTTAAAACAAACAAATATCAACTTAGGTCTCACCTAAGTCCTCCTCTTCTTCTTCTTCATTTCTATGGACTGCAGGACAAGGGCATCAACCTGACACATATTGAGTCCCGTCCATCGAGGATGAACAAAGACCAGTACGAGTTCTTCATCAGCGTGGACTCCACCTGCTCCCAGGCCCTGGACGAGGTCATCGACGGCCTGCGTACACAAATCAGCGGCCACGTGCATGAGCTGTCACGCAACAAAGAGAAGGACACAGGTTAGTGAGTGTGTGTAATTGCTGTGCGAGGATGCACTCTGAACAAGATAAGCATGAATCCTCAACGCGATGAAAACAAAAAAAAATGACATGCTCCACATGGGAGAGGATCTGTGTTTTCAATTAGAATAAAATGTCAACCATGTTGTTGATTGTTTAGCTCTTTGTTTTAAGGTTGAGGACAGTTTGTGTCAGTGTACTCTCTGAAAACGTAGGACGTAGTCACATAAAATAAGCAATAAATTGAATTAGATACAACCTGCAGACTCCCCTTTATCCACATTCATCTGATTTATTATAGTAAAATCATGTCAGTCTGCAGTTATTTTGTTCAAAATTGTTCCTCAACTTGAAGGAGTATTGCAACTTTTTTGTCCAGGTTATTAGATCCAAAGACTACATAGATACCCTCTTAACTAGCACTTAACATGAAGTACAGCTGATGGGAATGTCATTGGTTTAGCAGGTTCAAAGTCACTGGAATTCAAAATTTGGCCTGAAGATGACACTACATGAAAAGCTAGGAGAAGTTATTACAATTCTTCCACAGGAGAATGTGAATGTGTGTGCCACATTTCATGGTAAAAAGTAATATTTGTCAAGATATTTCAGTAAAAACCCACAAATGTCACCTTGATTGTGGCACTAGAGTAAAAGTAAAGGAAACACCCAAGTCAATAGGGTTCATCCTCTGGGGATCAGGAATATCTTTATTAAATCTCCTGCTAATCCATCCAGTAGATTAAGACATATTTTTCTGCATAAATTAAACTTTTGACCTTCTGGTGATGCTAGAGGAAAAGTCGGGGGATCACCAACATTATTAGGGTCCATCCTCTGGGGAATATGCACACCTGTGCTATAAATTGTTGTGAAAATATATCAGTCAGGGCCAAAGTGGTGGACAGACTGACTGACAGAGCCACACAGCTAGCGTTGCTAAAAAATCAAATAACATGAAGATCAGTTCAGATGAAATGGTCCATTTATCAACTGAGCACAATGTTGGCTGCTGCTTTATGACCCTCTAGCCAGACTGGGTAATGGACAGCCAGCGTCGCCGATGAGACGGATGGCCAATCGCCCATATCTCGACCCCTTTATTAGTTGTTTCCAGAATGACATTAGTTTAGCTACTGAGGAACAACAGGCTAGGCAGAAACAGAGGAACTCTGTGTCCCGGCTGCAGACTAACACAGGGCAGGAGAACATGCCAAGGTCACGGCAGGCAGAGACAGACAGGGCCACCATGGATCCTCCTTTGACCTCAGTGTAGACACTGTGGTCTGCTGGTCAGGGTCAAGTGGACGAGGGGATGTTTATGGCCTGTTTTGGAGACTGCCTGTTTATAGAGGAGCCTGGCAGGGACATATTGTCTTCCTGGGGCCTCAGGCTGGACCACACTGCACAAATGTGGATTAATGGTGTGGCCCCAGTGTCATAAATCCATATGAACAACCAGATGACCCTTGATTACTGTTCTGCTGTGTCTGTGTCAAAATGGCACCGAAAGAAAAATCCTATAGGTTTTAATGTTCTACATTACCAACATCAATTTGCATTGTACTCATTTATATCAATCAAGAATTGTACAATATCTGGGCTGCAACAGTTATTTTCATTGTCGCCAAAATTATGTCTTCAAACTTCTTAATTAGTCCAACCACCAGTCTAAAATCCATAAATATTCAGTTTACAATCATATAAAACATAAGATAAGATAAAAAAGTAGCAAATCCTCACCGGGACTACACCGAAAACTACACAAAAAACACCAACTATGTTATTTGGCATAAATAAGGACTACAAATTGTTAAGAAGTCAGTTCCTTGCTAATCTTTAACTGTGATTCCTGGTAATTTGTGCTCTTTAATTGTGGAACCATTTCAGGACTTATTCAATGTTGAATAAATGTCCAGCTGATCATTCGTTTAACTCATCAAATTGAGTTTTTTAGAAACATTGTTAGCTTACTAGCACATCTCCCAGCATGCAACGTCACACCCTGATCCACTGATCCATGTTTGGATGTGGCTGTGATTCATTCTTTCGTCACATCAAATACAAATAGTAAACAAGTCCATACAGTTGTTGATTCAACTTAATTTCTTAAAACGCTCAAGTTATCTAAACAAAGAATGACTTCACAGAATTTGTCATCACATAGAAGTTTGATTAAACAGTTTAACTCACTAATGCTGAGTAAAATCAAAAAGACAGCTGCAGCTGGTTGCCTTATTTCTTTTTAGTTTCTACATTTTTACAATGATATTTGCCATCTTTGTTTGGAAAAGTATCCATGTAAATAAGGCATTATCAAAATGTACCTTTTATGTTGATAACATATAGAATAAATGTGCAATAGAGCACAAACCTATTCTATCTTAAAAAATAAACAGAATTACTTAAATTTGTGTTTATGGAAAGAATGCTTAATTGATTTGACCTGAATGAATGCATGTTGAATAAAAACACAGATTATCACTGTTTAATAACTGTTATTACTCTCCAGTGCCGTGGTTCCCTAATGACATCCAGGACTTGGACCGCTTCGCCAACCAGATCCTCAGCTATGGCTCAGAGCTGGATGCTGATCACCCGGTAAGGACTGACTCATCCATCACTGTCTGTGTGCCACATCCTGCCTCTGCATGTGTGTGTGTGTTTGTGTGTGAATACGTGTCCACTCACGCCCACATGTCTTATGAAAGACGAGGCTGTGGAGATGACAGGCTGCACTCTGCCGTCTATTCTAATGGAAACTATCTAGACACACAAATTGATGTCATTGCTTTAATTGAGCCCCTATAATTATAGATAATTGCTCCCTTTTGCCACCGCCATTAAAGCAAAATGTATTCATCATAAGCTGAAACACACTCTACAAAGGCTTCATTTGAATATGTATTTGCATGCTCTTATTAGAGACGGAGTGCATAATGCTGTCAAAGGCCACAGGGTTTAGCCTCAGCAGAGGATTTCCACTCTTTGATTTAGCTGTGAGTGGTCGGGCTGCGATCATGAGATCTAACATGGCTTTTCTTTGTGTGTGTTTGTGTGTGTGTGTGTGTGTGTTTAGGGCTTCACAGATCCAGTGTACAGAGCCCGCAGAAAGGAGTTTGCAGACATCGCCTACAACTACAGACAGTAACTACTCCTAAGAATCTTTATTTTTAAACTCCAGCTCATGTTTTGATGTGTTTTTCAAGTCTGGAAAGAAGTCATGCTTATAATATTTTTATATCTGAGTGAAAATTATCATAAACCAATGGGAACAAATTACAAGCAGTCAATGGGGGATTTAAAGAGCCTTGGTCTTTGTGTGTATAATTGAGAAGTATTATTCACAGGCACTACAAAGAGCGCCAAACCCCATGAAATGCCCACTGAGGTGGTTCACATTTACATAGCTGGGTAATACTGCGATACTGGCAAATAATGCTGGTCTCACGCAGTCTGTCGTCACAGGGAAATTTAGGGAAAAAAAAACTCAACAATTTTAACATGTTAATTAGACAGTATGTTTGGAGAAAAATGTTGTTGTGGTGTTTAGTGTAGAAGCAGCAGGACGATTCCTGATATTTTGATTCCGGAGACACTTCCAATTCTACAATCCCAATTAATGCTTTAACCTACACACAGACGGTTACTTGAACATGCAAAAATGTAAAAATTTGTCTATAAGCAATCATACAAGAATAAGAATAAGATATAATAAGAATAAAGTAATAATTTATAATAAGCTAATATTTATGTGTGTTTAAATGAAACTATTATCAGTTCAAAACTCAAATAAATGAGTAGGTACTTTCAATCTGTTCCAGTAAGTACCAAATAACATAATTATTTTCAAGAAATAGACTAATGGACAATATTAACTGTATATATGTAATTAGGCAAAACTGGTTAAGCTACTGAGATCGATTGAGCCAAGCTTAAAATATTAAATACTGTATGTACTACATAATAACGGATAAAGATAATTTAAATTAAAATCATCTATCATATGGGAAACATTTTAATTTTGAGAGGTAGCATCCTTTAAAATCAGTTTAAAAAAAAGTGATTATAGCATCTTTTAAATGCTTTTGAAGGTTTAAGTTTTTGTTTGTAGAAATCTTTAAGTGCAAATTGGTACCACACACTTCTTTGATACCACTAGGAGTCACCAAAGTCAAACATTTTCTCATACACATCCCAATGTGTATGAGAAAATGTTAACTGTATATATTGTCTTTTCTTATCTGTTTCTNNTATTTTTGCTAGGCCAGTGTATCTTTTTTTTTTTTTTTGTGTTGTACGGTGTCCTCGAGTGCCCAGAGAGGCGCCTTTAAATAAAATGTATTATTATTATTATTAATGTGAGCTCACCCCCAACAACAATTAAATTGTCCTAGTTTTCAATGGAATTTGAATTTTTGGTACCCTAGTATGGAATCATTTATCACTATTTACTGTTAGGATACTGTATTTGTGTGTTTATTTAATGTTTAATTTTATAGGTAGTAAGTATATATAGCACAGAATGCCACAAACCACAGCATTCATACATTCTTACACAAGCTTAAACAATAACCTCATGTTTTTGTCTCAGTGGTCAAGCCATCCCTCGAGTGGAGTACACAGAGGAGGAAAGGGTCACATGGGGCATGGTGTTCAAGGAGCTAAAGAGTCTGTACCCGACTCACGCCTGCCGCGAACACAACCGGGTCTTCCCCCTGCTGGAGAAATACTGTGGCTACAGGCAGGACAACATCCCACAGCTAGAGGACGTCTCCCGCTTCCTGCAGTGTAAGTCCTGTCTTGTAACTGACCGTGGTATATTATTTTTTCTATTTTTTTTAGTTTAATTGTGCATTATTGAATGTGGCCCTAATACTCTGTCATAAGTTTAAATGTTAAAATGGGTAAAGATTAGATTTAGTTTTAATAAAAGTTAAAGAAAGTCATATAATTAGCATTATCTTAATGTTCTTTTCCAGTTCTAGCTCCAACGTCCTCTCATTCATTTATTTTTGGAAACCCTGTGGCCTGAATGTGGGAGGGAGGACCTGTTCAAACACCCTACTTCCTATTCCTCCCTCCCTGCCCCTCACTAGCTGCTCTTATTCAATACTCACCTCTTTCATCTCTCCGCCCTTTTCCTGCAGCGTGCACAGGCTTCCGGCTTCGCCCGGTAGCCGGCCTCCTCTCGTCCCGGGACTTTCTGGCTGGCCTTGCCTTCCGAGTCTTTCATTCCACGCAGTACATTCGTCACAGCTCCAAGCCCACATACACACCTGAGCCGTAAGTGTCTGGCCTCAATTTCAAAAAAAAGGAGGAAAAATACATTATTTTTGTGATGCTAAGGAGTGTTTTTTTTAATTTATTTCTAATGCAGGGATATCTGCCATGAGCTCCTGGGACACGTTCCACTGTTTGCTGACCCTAGTTTTGCCCAATTCTCACAGGTAACTAAGTGTCATAACAGTGACAATAATACAAAAACATAAAACAGTAAGATAATTATAGATTTCTTTAAGCATTGTACCAAAGTAGCAAAAAATACTTATTATGCATCTCATATATATTGACTATATAATATGTAATAGCAGAAAACTGCAGTATTGGTTTTGCTCATTGATATATATACTGTATATCGAATCGATGTATATTGAAGACGAATTAGGATTTGTTTATTTTGCAGACAAAAATCTACGTAATATTTTCTCTTAGACTTTCTTCAAATTAAATAATCCTATTTTATTTCTAAGACAGGATATAAACTGTGCAAAACAATGCAAATCACCAATTTGAATCTTCACATATTTGTATTGCCATATATCTTTACATTCCTGGTATATAGCATCCCTCAGAGGATCAGTGAAAAGTTATCTTAAACAAATGTGATTCTGTAACTTTTCATTTTCTAATCCATATGCTTTGGTTCCTTGTACAGGAAATCGGACTTGCCTCCCTTGGAGCCCCTGATGAGTACATTGAGAAACTTGCTACTGTAAGTACATGAGGATCAATAATATTAGAAGAACAACTCTGCAAGAGGCAGCTTCTAATTCTAGTTGAATTAGATCAACTGCTTCTAAACCTCTAAACCATAAGATAAACATTGTTAGACAGGGATAAGCAATGCAACAGATGCAATGTAACGCAGGGCGGCTAGGCCATGGGACCTTTATTGAAAGGCTTATCCCTCTTTCTCCCCATGTTGTCTGTTTATCTCTACGATCAAATGAAGGTGCATGCAGGGCATGTCCTGTGGATTACCTGGAAAGACTTGTTGCTAATGTCAGTTTTCATTGTTGTGAGCAGCAGAAATGAAATTTCATCCGCCTCCATTGTATTGGAGCGGCAGCGTAAATATCTCAAAACCCACAATCATAAATGTAATTTAGGTGAACTGACCCTTTCAATCTCCGGGATCTCTGGGGTTTGTGGATTTCAAAGAACCCCCGCTGATCACCTCTAGATCTGTGCCCTTGTTTTTGTAAATTCTTGCCTGGGTTTTGGTGTATAGATCATATTTTTATGAAACATGTGTGTGTCCTCAGGTGTACTGGTTCACTGTGGAGTTTGGCCTTTGTAAGCAGGGCTCAGAGATCAAAGCATATGGAGCTGGCCTGCTTTCATCGTTTGGAGAGCTGCAGGTAAGGAGGACGGGGGGGCAACATGTGTGTTTGAGTCATAGGGTCCAAGAAAACAATCTGTACATCGCAGAACTCACAGACCCCCGCAGCAGCAAGATAAATAGTTGGCTTTCTGTGCTTTCCTACGTCCCGCTGACCCCCTCCATCTGTTGTTAAAACACGCTCACCCCCGTTGCACAACAGCAGCGATGCAGGCAGTGGGTTAGTGGTCCACTCGGGTTCAGGTTTAATGGGTCACTGGGGGAGTCGGCCTCTCTGCCCAGTGGGGTGCGGGGAAAAGTGGTTCAGTGGGAGCAGAAAGAGGATGAGCCACTCGCTATCGAGGTCACAAGTTACATTAGCGGCTGTCTGCAGAGGATGTGCACTCTGCCAAGTCACATCAACAGAGACCTGAATCATGCTGCACTTCCTGTTTACCCATGGTTGTGATGGGAATAGAGACACTCATTGATAAATGTATTTTTTTTCAGTACTGCTTGACAGACAAACCCAAACTCCAGCCCTTTGACCCCGACAAGACCAGCCTCCAGAAATACCCAATCACAGAGTACCAGCCTGTTTACTTTGTCGCTGAGAGCTTTGAGGACGGTAAAGAGAAAGTCCGGTAAGGAAACGGTTCCTGAAAACTCTTTTGAAGCTTTCCTGCACATATACAGTAACTTTATACAGAATTTGTCTCACATTAACGTCTCTCTGCCCTACAGGAAATTTGCATCCACCATCCCCAGGCCTTTCACAGTGCGCTACAATCCCTACACCCAGAGCATTGAAGTGCTGGACAACACCCAGCAGCTCAGGAACCTGGCTGACAGCATCAATAGTATGTAGTCGAAGCAAAGAATGAATAGACAGTATAGTATAAAGTAGTTTTAGGTTGCTCTGGTTCATACAGACATCTACTTTTAGGTTTGTTTTATTTTATTCTGTTTATTCATTTTGTTTTTCCTCTTATTTCAGGTGAAGTGGGGAAATTGTGCGAAGCCCTGCGGAAACTGCAGTAACTTTCAGCACACGAAATCGAGCCGAAAACTCTCTTCATTTCCTCAATGAAACTGTCAGCTTGCGGTTCTGCTTAGCATGCGCACAAATGAGCTTTCTCTGTATTAAAACAAATATGCAAAGTCAAATATCAGCAATATTACTGTAATCCAATTATTATTTTAGTTAAGTGAATAAAGTGTAGTTACCTATGTAGGATAATAGGGAATAAGGAATGTTACTGTCCATATTATTATGTTATTAAGAGTTTTTCAGAATAAGAGAATAAGTGACTTTAATGAATTTAAAATCCAATATGTAAACATCAAATTGCTTCTAACGTGATGCAAATCAGTTGAAATAATATTTTTTTTCCTATGCATTTTTAACCTAAAGGCATACTGAGAGATAATTTTTGTTACTAGCTTTCATTGTGCTCAGCTAAATGAAATGTTTTGTATATGCATGAAAGATTTTAATGAAAAGAAAGAAATGTTTCTCTTCTTTCCTCCTGTCGTTCATATTGCTAATTATTTCTCACATATCGATGCTAGAGCCAGGATGCTGCATATTTCAAATAATACTATTTTTATTAAGTATGTATTCATGTGTTTGTAATCAACTTTAACTCATCATGTGGACAGACTGAGACATGAACAGATAATAAATGATAATATAGTATAACACAGATGTAGTAATATAAAATATGTTATACTTGCAAATGAATAAACACTTAAAAACGTCCTTGTATCTGCTTACAAATACCATATAGTTGCTTATAAATGCTAAATAGGGGTGTGTAAAGAAAGGTTTCAGCCATTTACAACATAATACTAGAGAAATCAGAGTGAGTTAAATAAACTTAGAGTAAAATAAATGACATTAAACAAACATTTGAGACAAAGTTAAAGACATATTAATACTACTACTACTAATAATAACACTAATTAAATGTATATATAGGAATTATGAGGCAATTATCTTTGATTAAGCATGTAGAGGCAGTATATAAACATTAAATAAATGGTTTATAACACATTGTAATATAGTTGTAGGCAGACGTAAGGACATTTTAAGTGTTTATTGATGCAGTCTTAGTCAAGACATAACATAATTAAGATTATGTAATTACAAATGAGTTCAATTATATAGTCATTCATTAAGTTTATATGCCAGCTTTCAGTGATGGATGACATATTAATAAACGTTTAAAAATGTCTATAGCTGCTTACAGCTGCATTATTCTTATAAACGAGGGATAAAATACATATAACATTAATAAAACACATTTTTTGCTGTCAGATATTGTATTAAAAAGACCTTTAATGTTACCAATGTGGTGATTTAGTAATAATTAAACACTTTTAACCTCCTATAAAGCTTAATTCTTTCCCTTTTATATATATGATAATGTGGAGTATGTAACCTATGATAACCTGATTTGGTTGAATGCATCTGTGATTTATTTATTTATTGTAGAGTTGGCTATTCCCCCTCCTAACAGCACCATGTTTTGTCCCATAAATAGATGTAATATCATGACGCAAAACAGGCCTAAAAAGCGCCAAACGCTCGTGCCATGCTTGCGCAACACATCTCCATAAAGCCCTCAGATGGTGGAGGCTATTTAAACCTGTGCACAGAGGTGATGGTGACACACACACACGCACACTCACGCACACAGGCTTCCATTTGCTCTCCGGTAACACCGCGCAGATGAAGACGGACAGTGCGGCGCAGGCGGCGCCGTTCAGCGGGAGGAAGCAGAGTCTGATCGAGGACGCTCGCCGGGAGCGCAGCAGCGGCTCCGCGGGCTCCCCGGGGCCCTCCAGGTACGGAGACGGCTTCGTGTTCGAGGAGAAGCACGGCAGGGTCACCGTGAACGTCCTGTTCACGCTCAGCAATGAGAAAAACGCGGGCTTCTTCAAAACGGGGAAAATATTCGAGGTAAGCCTCAAATACGTGCTGCATTTATCTTTAACTGGAGTTGAGGTTGAGGTTAAATGAACTCGTTATGCAGACAAATAAGCCCTGTGTGTTATTGTTGTATTATTATTATTGATGCTAAGATTCAGTTGTATTTTCTGTTGTATTTGGGCTGCAATAACAACTATTCAGGATATAACTATAAACTATAAATATTTCCATTTTCTGCTACTGTATACCTGTACTCCACTGCAATTCAGAGGCATATGTTGTACTTTTTACTACATCTATTTGCAGATTCAGATTAATTATACAAACATATATTCAACAAATACCTTATGATTTAATATTATGGATTAAGATAAGACTTTATTGATCCCTGGGGGTGAATACACAGTCTAGTCAGTCTACAAACCTCAGAAAACATATTTTGTTGTCTGTTTAAAAGACTTGTGATCTGAAATATAACCAGTAACTACAATATTTCCTCTCAAAAGTGGTGGAGTAGAAGTAAAGCACTTCAAAATTATAGTAGTTATTTTTCACCACAGCTAAGAGCCCAATAATATCTACATTTAATAAAAAAATAAATCCTGTAAATAACAATTTGTAACTCAACTGATCATAATTCAAGTTTATTGAAACCTGAACAGGTTAAAAAAAACATTATTAACATTAAAAATATAGAATTTAGTCCTTTTAAGACCTTTTTGTGAATTTGAGGCTCCAATCTTGTGTTTTAAAATTGGGTTATAGATTTTGTCTTAAGGAACAGGCAAAACAAAAAGTCCCTAAAATGCAACATCTGAGGCTCTGATGAGTTATTATTTAGTAAAGAAATTAATTAAAAATATGTTAATTTATTTGGAAAAAATGACAAAAACTAAACTCAAAGCAAAAGAAAAGAACAAAAAGGGTGTTTTTTTTCATCCTCTCTTGTATTTTTTTAACACTTTTTTTCCTCCCCTCATAGACGTTTGAAGCGAAACTTCTCCACATCGAGAGTCGACCGGGGAGGAAGTCAAAGAACAGCACAACAGATCTGGAGTTCTTCATGAAGTGTGAAGTCCACAGCTCCGACCTCGACGTTTTCATCAACTCACTGAAGAGAGTCGCTGACGACGTTCGTTCGATACCGGAGGAAAAAGGCAACTACTTCCTTTTATTATTGCCCTTCATGCTTTTTTAAATCATTCTATAACATTTCTAGTGAGATGCATTCATATTAGGACATCATATGGCATGTTATTAAATTGCTTAATGCTTCTTTAAGTGTTTTTTTTGGTAATGTTACCATATGATAATAACATGCAACCAATTACAAAAGCACTAATTAATTATGTTCTTCTCCCATCACAGTTCCCTGGTTTCCCCGACAGATAAAAGACCTCGACAGATGCAACATGTTAATAACCAAATTTGATCCGGATATGGACCAGGAGCATCCAGTGAGTGTTTACTGCAAACTATGTCACATTGTATTATTATTATATTATGTTTATCAGACATAAATAAAGCTTACTTATGGTCATTTAACATCTTTTTCTGCAGGGATACAGCGATCCAGAATACAGAAAAAGACGGGCTTTCATCTCCGAGCTTGCCTTCAGATACAAACAGTGAGTCAGATATTTAATAAAAAGTTAATATATCTTCATTAAGCACTGAGTATCATTCAAATATTCTCTCTTAAATCAACTCTCTTTGTCACAGGGGGGACCCGTTGCCCACTGTAGAGTACACAGCAGAGGAAGTGTCCACATGGTGAGAACAAGCTGCGCGGTCCTGCACATTATAGATGAAAGTGAAAGGTGTTGAAAGTGCAATGATGTGATGTTGCTGTTGTTGTTAAAAAGGAGGGAGGTTTACCGGCAGCTGCGGAGCATCTACCCTGGTCTGGCCTGCAGGCAGTTCCTGGACGGGCTGCAGCAGCTGGAGAAAGAGTGCGGCTACGGAGAGGACCGCATCCCCCAGCTCAGAGAGGTTTCTGCCTTCCTGAAAGGTGACAAAGACTGAACAATTACAATAAATGGATATTTCTGCTATTATAAGTCACTATAAGCCCCAAAAGAGTTAGAAAAAGTTCAATTATGAGAGATTCTGGTCTTTAAAGTGTAACAGTAAAAACACAAAAGTAGATTTAAGATTCCTTTAAGATAGAAGACATATGTTTAATAGCATAAGGAGATTTCTTCTATCATAAAAGAAGACAGAGATAATAAATTGGAGGTTTCCAACGTCCTAAAAAATTACAGCAATAGATAAAATTTAATCGAAAGAAGCACAAATAGAGACAGAGTTTGACAAATGAAAAATAAGAAGCAGGTTCCCTTAACTAGGCTGGTGTGGCTACATGTTTTGAGAGATGTTTTACATCAGGTCGCCCACTTGAGCAAGTTCTATGCTGCTAGGATCGCCTACACAAATATAAATGTTTAAACCATTGACAGTATATATAAAGGTTTAAACTAAACATCTTTAGATCAGTTAGATTCTCCACAATTCAATCGTTCAGTTCATTTTACAGAAATAATGAGCACCAAAGTGTCAAATTCATTTGTAAAAGTAATATTCATATGGGTTTAAATACACAATTTGATAGTATTTCCCATCTTTGCTGAGCAAGAGTTTTGTGCAAAAGGAATACAGACGGCTGCAGGTTGAGTTCAGTGATTGAGGCAAATAAAAGCCCGGGAAGTTTTATGGTATATCCAGTAGTTTAGTCCAGTGGTTCCCAACTATAATAACTCATAGCCTCCTGAAACATGTGTTTTGCAACAGGTCACAAGTAAAACTGATGGGAACCACTGACACCTTTGTATATTATAAGATTATTATGTGTTATTTTATAGAAAGTTTTAATCTGATATTTCGCTCTCAAGTAAAGTATCTAAAAATGTACTTTCTTACTTTCCACTGCTGTATTTTGGCTCTACTTCCTTTGAGCTCCCTCACAGTGTGTTTGACAGTGTCTCTGCTTTTTTCAGAGAAAACTGGTTTCCAGCTGCGTCCAGTAGCCGGCCTGCTGTCAGCCAGAGACTTCCTCAACAGTTTGGCTTTCAGGGTGTTTCAGTGCACACAGTACATCCGTCACTCCTCTGCTCCCATGCACTCCCCCGAGCCGTAAGTCATCTGTGTTTTTTTTAAACTTAAGTATTTATGTATTCAGTGGCTTTTTTCTTGTATTGACTCAGTTCAATCTGCTCCGACAGAGACTGCTGTCACGAACTGCTCGGCCATATTCCCATGCTGGCAGATAAAGAATTCGCCCAATTTTCACAGGTAACCGTGCTGTGCTGCACTATATGTTCTTTGATTTGGCCTAATCAGAGTGTAATCTAGTTTAATTACCTTTAATACTGACTTATTAAAAATTTCAGGAGATTGGACTCACCTCACTTGGAGCTACAGATGAAGACATTGAGAAACTGTCAACGGTAAGTTTGTATTAAAACCTGAAGTGTCATTTTAACATAATCAGACATCTATACCTTTGCTTTCTTTGTCCTAAAGGTAAATAACATTACAAGGACAGGAAAATTACACAATTTCATATCAAATATTGACAGAATAGCTTCTCATACCTGAGGTTAACACAGGTTGGCTTCACTTTAATGGACCTTCAGTGCCATCTAGTGGCTTAAATAAACAACTGCACATTGTATTTAACCATGCACAATATGTTCATCTGCCTTTTTATTGTGTTCCCCCTTTATAGTTATATTGGTTTAGTGTAGAGTTTGGCCTCTGCAAGCAGAACGGCACAGTGAAAGCTTACGGCGCCGGACTCCTGTCATCTTATGGAGAGCTCGTGGTGAGTGTGTTCTCTGAGTTCACACACAAATATTTGCGTTTGCATGTTCATTTTTTTGCTCGGTGTTCTGACAGTCTTTGACCTCTCTTTCCAGTATGCTCTGTCTAACGAGCCGGAGTACAAGCCCTTTAACCCGGAGGAGACCGCAGTGCAGCCGTACCAGGACCAAACCTACCAGCCTGTTTACTTTGTGTCTGAGAGCTTCGAGGACGCAAAGATTAAGTTGAGGTATTCGTCCTTTATTTTATATTTTATTGCTGTTGGGTGAAAACCTTGTGACCAATAGAAAAAGACTAATCAAGTTAAAAAAAACTCTGCACATAAAAGTTTGGATTTATTTCTTAAACCGACATCCCTACTGAGTCTAAAGTTTCAAATGAAAGCATGACCACAAGCTTAAGCACTGATTACTCACTCAACTGTTCTGTTCTTCTAATCCTTAATAATAATACTTTATAGAAGGTAATATAATATTCCTCCTGGAGCATTGAAGTTCATTCTTGACCTTTGGGAACAGTGTGAGTAACAAAGTCATCTAAACTCAAAGGGCCACTTTGTTTTACTTTATTATTTCTAATTACCTTTTGTAATTATTTGTTTCTTACCTCCACTAATTCCTTAAATATAATACTATTTTATTTAATGATTTATGCAACAGGGCTGCTATAACAACACAATTTCCCAATGGAATTAATAATGTACTATATAAATAGCGCCAAATTAAAGGTAAAATCGTTTTACAGTGTTTTTCCACCAAATTAGCTCTGATTCTTGAACCTGGCACCTTGGTAGTATGTAGCGAACCAGCCCGGGTTTCCACCAGTTTTGAGTGGAACTACTATAACTAAGGATGTGTCATCAACACAACCACAACAACCTATGGACTATGACACACCTACCAACCAATTTATTTTACAATAAATAACAACAGGCCTATCATAGTGTTTTTCCACCAAACTAGCTCTCGTTCTCGGTAGAATATGACACACCTCCTTTGGTTCCCAAAGAAAACACTCTCATGTTGTTGTTCCGAACAACTTTATCTTTGGTCGAAATGGTCAGAATGATTAAAAACTAGGCATGCAAACCGGAAAGGAGTCGGTTCCCTGTTTTGGAAAAGACTTATTATTGTTTTTTTTTCACTAAATTATTTCTGGTTCTTGGACTGGTTTATTTCAAGGTTCTTGGAACCTTGGTGCTATCTATCCAACCAGCCCAATAAAGGATGCATCCTCATCAGAAGGAACTAAGGTTACCAAGGGAAAAGCTGCTAGGTTTGGGTTCCGAACCGATTTATTTTTGGTCTAAATGCTCCTAACGGCTCAAAACTGGGTGCCTGAACCAGAATGGAAACTAGATCTCTGTTAGTGGAAGAAGCATTTTAGACCTTAGTCAGAGACTTTCTAATATTTGTCACCATCTGTATCTATGCATCGGTAATACTCAGACCTTATTTACTTCCACAGGAGATACTCTGCAGCCATCAAGCGTCCCTTTGCAGTTCGCTACGACCCCTTTACCTGCAGCGTGGAGGTTCTAGATCAATCCAGCAAGATCCAAAATGCTCTGAGCCAGCTGAGAGAAGACCTGAAGACCCTTCACAGCGCACTGGAGAAGCTCAGCTCATCCTAAAACCAGGAGCAGATTATCTGCAGAGATAAGAAAGTCATGCAGACAGAGAAGCAAGCAAAGGGATGGACATTTGGCTTGTTTAAACACTGTATATGAGATCTACTGTTATGAGCACATACAGAAAATCACAATGTAGTAACGTTTGTGAGGTTCCACAGGGTGTTTGTGTAAATGTATCATGTGAAGATTATGTAAAAAGAAATAAACGTTTATTTTCATGAAGAAATGTCAGTGCTTTTCATTCCAAAGAGACAGAAAAGATAGAAAATGAGCTGAAGAGAGAAGTCCAGGGTTTGCCAGCAGGAGGAATAAGAGAGAGTGAACCACTACAATACAGGACTTGTAGGCCATTTTCTAGCTTTTAATTCCAAACCAACTATTTCCATTTGGAAAAAGTCTTGGAACCAATTTATCTTCATGTGTTATTAAGCAAAGGGAAGGAGCTAATTATGAATGATTTAAGTATCATGTTCCCTCAGCTGGTCAAGGCCAGAGCCAGCACTGAGGCCCAGCACATCAGTAGGGGCCAGGTCACCGGGACCTCACAGTCGACCACAGCACGGTCCGCAGGGCTGCACTGCTGACAGATGCTCTTCTCTCTTTATTTCTCTTTCTCCGTGCGACTGGAGAATTTGGCCTTCGGGGGTTTTTGACGGACGTCCAGCGTTTTGATCTCCACACAGGCGACAATGCATATCAGAGCCACGCACGTCAAAGCTTTTCCCTTGAAAAGACAAATCATCTCCATCTGCAGGACTCATAAAGCATCAGCACCATCAACACGGTGGCTGGCAAACCCTCCCTTCGGCCACCTTGTGTTGGGAAGCTTTCCCTTCCCATAATTCCACTGTACAGTAAATCAAGCCCTGCTCCGGCCTCCCTAGGAAACCGTGTTTGTGGAGTAGAAAAAATTGTGTGTGAAGTGCGAGAGAGAGGGGGATGAAGCAAGTGGAGGGAAAGAGTGATCTACTGCTTGACAAGTGTGCAGGGACACACACATGCATGCACGCACACTATCCAAGCAAAAGTCACTTTATAATTTCTTGTATCTTATTCTACATCCAGCGCCCTCAAATCCACAAATCCCTGTAAAACCACCGCCAGGATCCGAATCTGCTGAGCGCTAAACAAAAGCGGGGTTGCCGCGGCAACAGGGCGACCAGCTAGATTCTTGTGCCTCGCGTACCCACCGTAAATCCCAAACGCTGTATCATCCTGACTCCAACCATAAGTGTTTTCCTTGATTGATGTCAGGGCCATCCCATCCCCACGCTGGCGTGGTTGCCTCCTCCGGGCTGGAAACAGGGTCAGGAGGTTCATTTTGTCCTCAGGCCTGAGAACACAAAAAGAAAGATACTCCACAAGATGTGAGTGATTCTGGTGATTTAAGGCCTGATGGAGAATAAATAGCTAACAAATTGTTTACCAATGGTTTATGGATCAGTTATAAGCTATCAAAGGGACAGCTCACTTTTGGAATAGGTATGAAGAGGCATGCCAATCTCACGTCTGAGCATTAAGTACAGATGGGATCAGAAACAACAGGCCTGGCCCTCTTCAAAGTAAGACAATCTGCCAACCAACACCTCTAAAGCTGACTGATAAACACAACAAAGGAGGTATTTGTTTAATTCATACAGAAAGAGAAATCTAAAAACCACAATTTAGGTGCTGGCCGCTTAAAAAAAAACCCATTTTGTTTATGTCCAGGTAAAATAATTGCAATTCAAGGTAGACATCAAGCCAAAAAGATTAAGGCACGATTGGGGAAAGCCCTGGACAAACATTCCTGATGCTGCAACATCTAGAAGTATAAAGAAAACATTGTAAAATAACATAGTCATTCTACTGTTCTGAATGCTGGTGAGAGACCAAGGCCATATGAAAAGGGTTGAAGGAATCCATAACTTTGCCTGAGACGTTTGCGTTCTGGCCTAAAAAGATCACAACTTTTGAACTATTCAGACAGAAAAAAACATCACTGAAATAAGAGCAGAGGAGACTGTGATGGCTGTGCTTTGAATGCAAGCAGATCCAGAGGTTGTGCTGAGATGGACTCCTCTGGGCAAAAGAAAACTTGGAAGACCACAGTGACCTGGCACAGCCCTGGGACTGACAAGCCAGCTAGTTAGCCAGGGGGCTGAGGCTCAACATTTGGCCAAGCATAAGGAATGATGGAGAGAGCTCCTTGTAGCATTATGTCCCCCACAGGAGACAAAGAGGAATAACTAAGAAAGAGGTACTGGCATTGGTAGGTGTGTTTTTTTCACTTTGTGCAAAGCCAGGCTAGCCATTTCCTCTTGCTTCCTGTATTATGCTAAGCTAGGCTAAAGTCGTCCTGATCCCGGCTCTGCACTTCTTCTTATCTCTCTTAAGTCTGGGAAAGAAAGCAAATATTTCACAAAATGTAGGACAAACTGTTATTTTATCAAGAAAATTTGGCTGGAAAAGGATGGTGGTGTTATTAACTCATTAATAATGCTTAATAATTGCTCCTTTCTGTTTATGTATGGGTTAAACGAGATACAAGGTGTTAATTAATCAGCTTTAGAAGTATTTGGTAGGTATGTTTTTTCACTTTAGAGCCAGGCTAGCCTGCAGGTCTGCACTGACATGAGTTGGGTTTTTTTAATCTCTCTTGGAAAGAAAGCAGAAGAAAGCGTACATCCCCAAACGTTCTGGTTGGCTGGTTTTATTACTGTCCTCCAGCGTGATACTTGCTTTGTCTTGTGAGTTAGCTTTTACGTTCCTTTAACTCCTTTGATGAACCACAAATAATAAATGCTCATGGGTTTCTCATTTTTTAAATTGGCCGTCAAGTCTGCAGTTATAAATGTTAAAAAGTCAATAACGGGTCATGAGTTCCACTTCTTGTAAGTCTGTAGTTTCTAAGTCATCTGCAACTGCAAATATAAATAAAGGCTTCTTATAATAATCCAAATGTTAATGGACTTTCACTTCAGACGCTCTGTAGCACTTCTGCAGGAGCGATCAAACGGTCCATTGAAGGGAAAAAAGTATCTTGCTGGAGGAGAATAACACTTTAATAACACTATTTAGATGATCAACAAACTCCACTCAAAAGTAGAGATGGAGCACTTTTGGACTCTCATCTACTCATCATGATCAACATAATCACTCCATTCTGGGAAAGCATTGAACAACAAACCAGCCGTGAGATTAAATCAAACACCGGCCTCAAAGAGCTCTAATCTCTTACTTTGTTTCCCTTCATATCATGCTCCTCATTATTTTTATTTGCTCTCTTTTTGTTGAGCCCGGGCTTTAAGTTGGCAGGGCCACAGAAGAATTATCTGAGGGCTGAGATTAGGAGAAAGTTGGTGAAGATTTTAAGGCGTTCTGATCTCTCTTTCATCCATTTCACAGTTTGTTATTAGTCTACACACCACAAGAGATCAAACTGTTTGTGAGGCATAATAGCTTCATTCAGGTTACATCAAAGGTAACATGGCGGCCTGGGGCAGTGACATCTGAGGACGTGCTTTCAGGAAAGAGGTGAGCTTGTAAGATCTCCAAGATGGATCATATGTTGTAGAAATTAGCTCACAGACAAGATGGAATTAAATCTGGATGCTATTCTGCTCACCAGCCATCAGATGGTGTCCTTGAGTCACTGGGATTTGTAAAGCCACTGAGATTCATGACTCATGTTTCAGAGGAAAGTGGCTCAGTTGGCAATTCCAGTGCCCTCTAAGGGAGCTTTTATACTCTTTGGAAAACATTCAGAGTGTGCATGGATGAAAATGGCAGCTTCTTGCATCCATTGACACTGAAATCTCTTGTGTTATATGCAGCTGCTCCAGCACCACTTGCACCTAAAGCACAGCGAACGTAGAGAGTGGAGACCACATTGGACTTGTTCAAACAAAAGCGTGGACCAGGAGAGCAGTAGCATGTTATGCTTTGTGGATGGCGGTTAACGCGTCCTGTCCAAGAAATATACAAGGTTGACGAACTGGTTTGAAAGAGTGGAGGTCTCCACGGCCTCTGCTCATTCCGCTCTGTCGTGCAGAAGCATCGTTGTACAATACAACCTAGTGTTTCAGCTGACATATACGTTAATAAAAGTACAATAAACGGCTCTGTTAGGCACCCGAGTATGAGCGCACATTTATCCAATGCTGCACCCTTGAAGATTAAGTACATCTGTGGAAACAAGTGATCAGCTGTCACCTAGAATGATTCATGATCAAGTTAATTAAATGAATGCCCTCTGCAGCTTAGCGGGTGTATGGCTGCCTTGAAAATGGAGATGGTGGTTCTTCACACATGGCATTCCTGTGACAGTACAATGAGTCTATGTTTAACCGGGGGGCATTGCAAGTTTCTGCCAAATGATCCTTCGTCTTCCATGTTTGGTCTGTGGAGCATTGATAATTATTCGCCAAGGTAAGGTGAAGCGCATCTCTTCCTCTCCCTGCCTCCTCACGAACCGCTTGTTTTGCATGTCATTGAGTTGGAGATGACCTGAAATGGCCCCAGACTCCCATGCTTCCCAAAGCCTTTCCTAAAATTTCTAATCCTAACCCCTACAACCGCCTCCCCCCTGCAGGGTTTGACCAATAGCTGGAACACGGCCAGACCTCCTAGTTTTTCCTCATCGAAAACCTTCCCGTGAATTTTCAGCGCACCACAGCAGGTGTAACAGTCCATACAAAAATATATTCTTGATATGATTCAGTCTAAAAAATTGAGAAACAGTCAGAGAGAGAACACCTGTGGTATGATGATCATGTTGACTGTTGAAGTGGAGAGTTGGCACCAACTCCTTGATGCATTCCTTTGAACTACAGCTCTCTTGGCAGGACATAACAGACAGCTGATGTAACTTACTCTTAAGAGAAAAGAAAAACGAGCTCTTCGCAGACGCAACCAGCCTGCTGTTTATCTGTAGCTTACCTGAAGGAGTAGTCAGAGATTTAAAAAAAGAACAAAGCTCAAACATGCAGCCAATTTCTAACAAATTTCATACAAACTGCAGATACTCAGAAAAATATTTTATTGAACATTTACTAGAATAGAAAACACAGGACCTAGTTATCCATCCTGGATAAGTGCTGTACAGATGTCTACATTTCAGTCATCCAAAAGCAAAGTTTCCTGTCCCCGCCAATCACACAGAGCGGGAGCGTCCGGTGCCAGCTGAGGCCGGATCCCACTGCGGCAGACCCAATCATCACCGGCTGCAACGATATCAGTATGTGATATGAGACTGGAGCTGCAGAGAACATTAAAATGATAACAATCTGGACTGTGAAAAGCATCTGACTGACCTGTGGGTGGCCAAGATGGTGGATGAGTAACTGACTACAGATCTTTCCTGGACATCCGGTCGTGGCAAAGAGGTTTTCATTGGCTCGAGACCACCTGAGGAGGTGTATAAAAAAGTCTCTTTATATGTCATCACACAATTACACTTGCATAATGAAATAGCTAGAAATCAATACAAATCCATACGCAGATGTTTTATCTACATGCACACAAAACTTGCCGATTTCCTCAATTGGCAAGTTTTCGGTGCATGAGGTGATACAATCCAGGTGTTTCTCGGTGAAAATTGGCAAAAAACTAAAAACAATAAGCCTTACAACAATTTTTAAAAAAAGATGTTCTTACTTGAATAACCGTGCTTTATCTATGTGTGCAGGTCTTTTTTCCTGTGGGTAACTGCAAAGAATACAAACATGTTTTTTTAAGGCACATCCCATCCTATCCCAAATCAATACTTCATGCATCAACAATAGTGTATTACCCACACCCCCCCAGTCACCTGGAGCGAGTTATGTCCCAGATGAGCCAGTCGTTTCCCGCCACAGCACCGACTTTGATCGTGTTGGTGAGGCACCAGTCAGCTGACATGAGTGGTGACTGACCACAGTCCAGTGACAGAATGGCCTGCTGCGTCACCAGGTCATAGAAACGAATTGTTCCTTTCTTCTCTGCCACCATTAACTGGAGAGGACAGATTGAAACCAATATTTGTAGTTTATGTTGCTAGAATCCATGGACTCCATGGTAGGCGACCTAAAGATAAAAATGGCTCACTCTAAGGTAATGAAAACACATTGATAAAAAACACTTTCAGACATGGTCGGACTAGTTTGTTCTGAGCATATCCCTGCCTTTAGAACAAACATCTACTAGATAATGTTTCATAAGAGGATATTTCACAGTGTAATTTCCTTTTTATGGTTGGATCCTGAATATTAATTGGATTCCTTTGACCACTAAGACAGTTATCAGGTTTTTTTGGATGGCAAGAAGGATGCTTGAATGAGGTCCGGAGCATGGGAGGGCAATTAAGGAAAACAAGGAGCTACAACCTCCCCACAAAAGGTGAGCTGATGGGGCTCCATCACCTGGCCTGTCATCGAATGGCGTCTTGGATTTACACAAAAACACTGAGACACTAACGTAAAGTTACATGTTCCAGTTGATCTGACCTTGCACCTGACAAGGTGATAGATCTACAGTATGTAGCTGCATATAGACGACTAACTCCAGACCTCAGAATATGAGCATGTGTCTAATGTATCCTACCTTAAAGGCTTCCTCTGGGTGCCAGCACACACTGATCCCAGGAGAGCGAAGTCTGAGAGTAGTGCTTTCATTTCCATCCAGGTCCCACACCCTATTTTTTAAGGTCAAGATAAATTAAGATGAATATTAAAATGAACACCAATAAAATACCATTGATTTGAGTGATACCTTGATGACCTAGTTTGATTTTGGGTATTGGTACAAACATAAACTCAAGTTTTATAAGTCTAAGTATGTGTTGTGAGAATTCTTTGCAAAAACCCACATAGTTCTCAGGTTATTTTGAAGGGGGTAGCAAACACAGGAGTTTTAATCAGTTCTCATTAGTAATGTTACGGATTGATTCAACTTGATATGTGAACCGCTCTTGGCCTAAAATCCAAAACAAAATCCACTACCTCCTAATTAACAACAAAGATGGGGTTTTAGAGCAGTTCCAAAAATAGCATTGGTATTTGAGCCACCGCTGGATGCTTACATAATATCTGAAATAATTCTCTTTCCAAGGTTTCTTTGTGGTTTACTTTGTGGTGCTTGATCTAAAACAAAATAGTTCATTGTCCAGATGGCCTAAATGTATAACGCGTACATTATTCCCCCATTACCGTATGCAAACATACTGTTTAACAAAGGCATTTAGTTTCTTCTTCTGATGCTTTTTTGGCAGAATTGCACCTCGACTTTTTCGTAAATTTGTTACTCAATACAAGACACACCATCAGGCTCTTATGGCACACAATGTGGGCAATGATAGACGACATGTTTTCATCCAAGTTCATGTTTGCTCCTAATTTATCTAACTCCCGCTGGTTGTGATTTACACGGTCTTCATGCTTTTCCAAAGAAAAAGGTCTCTTTTCTCAGATCTGGGCCCTGAGCTGTGAAGACAGACAGACTTATGCAGGACTCCTCTTTCAGGGAAAACGCCAGCTTCACATTACATTGAGCTATGATAGCAGGGGAAGGGGCGAGGTGGGGACGAGAGGGGGGGGACATCACCCTTGCCTGAGTCTGCGTTACGCTCCACTCACATTACAGCAAATGTTTCGCTGTGGGCGGCCTTCTGCCATTCATTTTCTGTGGATTACAGAGAGGGCAGCAGAATGCACGTCAGTTGAGGAAGAGCAGCGGAGAGAAGTTGAACAGCATCCGACTTTAGGCAAATCAAAACAGAGGGGTCTTGCAAGCAAACGCCAACCACGAATTAAAGCTCGTGTGAGGATTATGACCAACCTTCATTTAAATAATAGTCGACTCTGAAGCTAAATAAGACCTATGATCGCAAAAGCAGCTGAGAAACACCACGGATGTAATGGATCACTTGGATGGAGAGAACTGCGGGTCCAGAGACCTGGATCTATGGTTAACCACATCTGAACGATCCCTGAACTAGAAGAAAAGGTGGGGATGGGGGCATTGGGGTGGAGGGGGGGGGCTGGGAGGCTGCAAGTGTTTCTGGGAATATA